TTAGTAATTCAGCTTTATTTAGCTTTCCAATTTTAAAAAGTCATGAATAAGGAATCAAATTTAGAGTTTAACTTTTTGGAATATTTATCATCTAATAGAAAACTAAAGTCCTTGATAGATTAAAGACCTAAATGCAAATAGCAAAACTATACATTTCTCATAGGACAATATCTTCATATCTGTAGGGTAGGAAAATATTAATAAACAAAAGGCCTGGTACACAAATTTGTGCATGGGTGGGGTCCCTCGGCTGGCCTGCAATCAGGGCCTATTAGCCAGCTGGCGGGGGCTAGGGGGATTGGAGGGTCTGTAGGGAGAGGGAAGAGGAGGGACTGTGGGAGGTTGGCCAGCCGGGGGGCAGGTTGAGGGGGATATTGAACCACGGGAGATTGGCTGTGGGAGCACACTAACCACCTGGGGCAGCTCCTGCATTGAGCATCTGTCCCCTGGTGGTCAGTGTGCATCATAGCTCCTGGTCAGTTGTCTGGTCATAAAGATCGCTTAGGCTTTTATATATATAGACTGCACTATATTAAAATCATTAAGTTTTTATCAAAGATACCATAAAGAGAGTGAAAGACAAACCATAGAGTGAAAGAAGATATTTGTAACACATACAAGCAGATAATTAATATCCATAATATATACTGTAATTTCTTATAAATCAATAAGGAAAAGGTAGAAAACTCAATTTTTTTAAAAAAGCAAGAGATTTGAACAGGCACTTTTAAAAAGAAGCTGGCTGAAACCAGTTTGGCTCAATGGATAGAGTGTCAGCTTGGGGACTGAAAGGTCCTGGGTTCAATTCCGGTCAGGGGCATGTACCTTGGTTGTGGGCACATCCCCAGTAGGGGGTGTGCAAGAGGCAGCTGATCGATGACTCTCTCTCTCATCCATGTTTCTAACTCTCTATCTCTCTCCCTTCCTCTTTGTACAAAATCAATAAAATATATTTAAATAAATAAATAAATAAAAATAAAAATAAGCTGAATAAGATGCCAATAAGCATATGAAAAGTGCTCAATCCCATCAATCATCAAGAAAATGCAAATAAAAACAAGGATATATTATACTACTACACAACCACCAGGTTGGGGGAAAAAAAAAAGGTCTAATTGTACCAAGGACTGATACGAAATGCTGAAGAGGGTGTAGATGACACAATCAATTCTAAAAAAAAAAAAAAAAAAAAACACAGTTTAGCATGATCCAATCATCTATCCTTTGGCAGTATGTTTAGGGGCACCATATTCACACATAAAATCATCACAGTACCTTGGCCGGTTAGAGCATCCCCTCTCAGACTGAAGGGTCTCAGGTTGGATTTCGGTCAAGGATTCATACCTCACCTCCATTGTAGCCTCTATCTCCAGCCCTAGTAGAAGTGCTTGCAAGAGACAACCAATCAATGTGTCTATTTCACATCGATGGTTCTCTCTCTGTCTTTCCGCCTCCCTTCCACACTCTCTAAAAAGAAATTAATGGAAAAAATATCCTTGGGTGAGGATTAACAAAAAAATATATATGTTCTATCTTCCTATCACAACAAATATGCCTTTATCTGCCTAGAAGACTAAATTCATACTGAGAATTTTTGGATTCCTTAAAGTTCAAGTGAAAACCTAATGGTTCAGGAAAGACTGGCCACCGGCCCACTGCCCACAGCCCTCTTCTCTATCCCATATTGCCAACAACCTCATACACAGCACCCAGTCACCTTCATTCACAAGTCCAAGTTCCATCCCATACACTACTCCCCACAAATGGAAACTCTTAAGCCATCACTTGGGCCTAGGAGTATATACACCTGGCAGCTCAGTCTACCCTCAGAAAGACAGACCTCAGGAAGAGACTCATGCAGCCTCTAGGCAATTTGGGCACAAAATTCTGAGGTTTTAGGTGCTCAAAGGTCTAGAATGGAAGGGTTCTCCAAGTGGGCATATCCCATTGGCCCCACAGACTCCTTGCACCGTGGAAGAGGGACAAAGCAGGGCCCTCTAAAGCATAGGGCCAGGGCAAGGATCGCTCTTGCCAGGAACAGAATTTCCTTAGAACCAAGCAACATTATAAGTGTTAACTTGGACAGCAGTAACATGGGTACTCACTTTATAATTATTTGTGAAATTTTATATGAAAGTTTTGTGTATTTTTCCACAAATAATGGGACTGACACCATGTGCCTACTAATATGATACACAATATCATGGTCTAGATACTCTTGCCTAAAATCCATAATCTGAATCTAATCATTGAGATACAATCAAATCCAACCCATGGACTTATTAAAAAACAAGCTAACTCCTTAAAAAATATGTCATTAAAGGCAAAGAAAAGCCATAAAATTATTATATGCTGAAACTAAGTAGATGTGAAATTAAATAGAGTGCATGATCTTGAATTAGATTCTAGATCAGAGGGGGAAATACTATAAATGACACTTTTGGGACAAATGATCAAATTTAAATATGAACAACTGACATTATATCAATGTTAAATTTTCTTATCTCAATATCTATCCTAGAGTTATGAAAGAAAATGTACTTATTCTTGGGAGATACATTCTGAAGAATTTAGGGGTAAAAGGTCACAATGTCTGCAACTTCTCAAGCTCAGCAAAAATAATATGCATATGCAAGTAAAATGAAGAAAATATGGCCAAAAAGTAATACTTGTTGAATCTAAGGAAAGAGCATATACACTTGGCTATCAATGTAACGTTTATCTTTTTAAATATTTTCTAAATAAAAAGGTTTTAAAACTATACTAAGGAGTTAAATAAGAAAAGACTTATCTGTAGGAAGGGAAGAGGAATCAGATGTCTGAGATGAAAGGGTAAGATAGACACTTTTCTTTTGCTCATTCTTCCATCTTATTTTCACTTTTCAAATTTTGTTCATATACCCCCCAAAAAAATTCATTTTACTTTGGGGGGCAATTGAAAGAGGAAACATTAGCAAATAGAGAAATAAGAAAAATGTTTGTCCTTAAATGTATCTGTCAAATCACAGCCATCATCAAATGGTTACTAGGTAACATTAGCCCATAAAATGCTGCTCACATACACACTGAGTAACCCTTCCCAATCCAATAGTTTTTGTATTAAGAGGCGTAACTTATGGATGTTAATATTCTACTTCTACAGCAACCATATATTTCTAACATATTTTTCAGCCTTCGTTAGATAAACCAGAAAGTGGAGCACACAATTAATCTAACTTTTGCTGTTAGGAGAAATTCATTCATTTTAACAAACATTGGTGATGTTATGCAAAGCCCTGCAGATGACACAGAGTTGTGTTTATCATGGTCACTGTCCTCATGAAGGCAATGCAGCAAAGTGACAAGGACTTGAACCACACAGTAGCTATATGACCTTGGTCACTTATTTGATCTCTTTGAGATTCCCTTTTCTCATAGTTGTAATGGAGATGCCACCCAGCTATCTTTAAGGGCTGAACTGTAAGGACTGACTATGTCAAGTATGTAGGACAATACAAACTCAATAAAAGCTATTACAATCTAGGTGCGGCCAGGCCCGGAGCAGCGGCTGCCAGGCTGGGAGCGGCCAGGCCCGGAGCAGCTGGGTCAGATGCGGCCAGGCCCGGAGCGGCCAGGCCCGGAGTGGCCGGGCCCGAAGCAGCCGGGTCGGGTGTGGACAGGCCCGGAGCAGCGGCTGCCAGGCTGGGAGTGGCCAGGGCCGGAGCTTCCGGGTCGGGTGTGGCCAAGCCTGGAGCAGCAGCTGCCAGGCTGGGAGCGGCCGGGCCCGGAGCGGCCGGGTTGGGTGTGGCCAGGCCCGGAACAGCAGCAGCCAAGCCCGGAGCAGCCAGGTCGGGAGCGGCAGTGGCCAGACCTGGAGCAGCTGGTGTGGAACGGACCAGAGCAACAGAAGCCAGGCCCAGAGCAGCCAGGCCCGGAACAGCACGCTCCTCGCCAGCCCCCGCCCCATGCCTGCTTCTCAGACATGGCTGGAAACTTTTGCGGGAACTTGAGGGTCTGCTGAATCAAGTGATGAAGGCTTAGATCTGAATATGTTGAGTTAGTATAGCGCAGGGGTGTTGATTTGTGAGTGCCTTGTGCGGGGCCTGGATGAGGTTGGTTGACCTTTTTGGAAATGTCTTTTGTGTGAAGTGTATCTTTGGACATGTGGAGGTATTATTGAAATGAGAAAATGCTAAGTAACTGATTTACTATCTGAAAAGGGATTTACTATCGGGGAAAGGGAGGGAGAAAGAGACTGAACATAAAAGGTGCACCTATGGATGAGGACAATGGGGGAGGGGAAGGGGCAGAGGGTGGAGTGGGAACCTGGTGGAGGGGGGAAGAAATGAGGAACCTTTGTAATAATATGAACAATAAAGATTGATTTAAATAAATAAATAAATAAATAAATAAAAGCTATTACAATCTAATTAAATAAGGAAATAGAAAAAAAATATGCCCAAGGTTGTATAGCCAATTAAGGGTATAACTACTATTGAAATCCTGATTACTCCAAGTTTCTAATCCAAGAAAATTCACTCTCCCTAAACACCAAATAATATATGCAACTGTTGGTGTATGTGGGCCAAGAGATGCTGCCTAACATATCTTTGGCAAATGCATCACTCTATCAGGCACCAAGAAAAAGAACATTGGATCATAAGGTTATTTTTTTCTCATTAACCAAGAAGGATTTTAGCTCAAGAAGTATTATATTCAGCCTGCACAAGGTGTCTAAAACCCTGTCATCCAAGAATACATGTCCAAATTAGTTCAAAATCTAAAGCCACAGGAGTTATTTCCTTCAAATAATTTCCAACTTTCTTTTATCAAAAAAACATAAAATTTACTAAATTAAATCAATGTCATCATGCTTATGATGATGTGGGCACAAATAACAAAGAAAGACACTTAAACATATTTAAGGATAAGTAACAGTTTAGAATATTCCCATATCCCATATGCATGGCTATCTCATACAATAAACAAACATGCCATATGATAATTAAACATGCAAATACCTGAAAGAGTGCCACCTGACCTAGGATAGGCCACTTCAACATACACTTCAAATGTGGTCTCTGGGTTTTGCCTACGAAAGAAACAAATCATGATTACTAACAAGGATGGAGACAGCATGGTTATAGAACATGTGGGCTGAGGTATAAAGCACATCTTGATAAAAATCATTAGCTCCACAACTTAATGGCTGTGGAACTTTGGACAAATTACTCAACTTCTCTGAGCCACGTCTACCTAATCTATAAAATGAGAACACTTAACCAGAAAAATTATTGTGAAATTTAAACACACACACACACACACACACACACACACACACACACACTCTGTCTGGGTACAATGTCTGGCCAATAATTGACTAAATATTATTACAATTTTACAGGTGTCACATCTCCAATTTACCCAGCTACATCTCCAAAGCCACAGATAGAATTCTGAGGAAACTCAAAGCAAAGCAACATTAGCAGAAAGTAGCCTTTTCCTTCATATTCCAGGTTAAAATATTCATAGGATAAAGTTAACTTGCTTATTTATAGATTATAAGACCAAAACAAGAGAAACAGTATCCTGTCTCACTAGGCTGTTATGAGATAGGATCCTAATCTAAATATAAGACTGTTCCCACATAGGGGGCTTCACCTGTAGAAAAATTGCAAGTATATGAATGTTCATTATATCCTTTTACCTTTTTATGTCATAAATATTTCATAATAAGTTTTTTAAAGATCACAGTACTAACAGAATGTTAACAGTTAATTCAGAGGGATGAGAACATCGGGGTTATATTTCTTTGCATTTTCTCTTTCTCTTTGATTCTAAAACTACAATAAAAAGATATTATTTCCAGGTTGAATGAAAATCAGTCAGTGAAGAAAATGTTATACTTTCAAATGTCTATAACTGAATTATATTTTAAACCTGACAACAAAGCTTAGAGAAGAAATTTTCTGAGTTGCCTAATCAGATCTAAGGTTTACTTTTCAATCAAATAAAAACTTAAGATTTACTCAATAGATTACAGTTTTCAAAATAACTATCTCATTTATCACTTTTCATTCTTATTATAATCCCAGGAGGTAGGTGCATCAGGCATTATCAACACCATATAGGTGAGGAACCTGAGGCAGAGTTCCTAAGTGACTTGTCGGTGGTCCCACAGCTATTTAGAAATGTAGCCAGAACCAGAATTCACACCTCCTGGCACTCAATTTCTATTTCATTGATTCTAAGAACTTCCCCACTCCCCTCCACGCACATATTTTCTCATATCTTACAATCTATTGCCTCTTACAATTCTACATGGCAGCATTTTTTTCTTTATTGATAATACATACAATAACTATAAATAATAGCACTATTATTTGTAAATAATAGCATCTTAAATTCAGTACTAGTAAAATATGGTAATACTCCCTAAAGTTACTTAGAAGTAGAAAGAAAAATGTGTTTTGCCAATCAGCAATCTAGTTATTTCTCTCGTGAAGGATCATCATTTCTTCACTGAATAGAAACTTGGGCTTTTGCTTTAAATAAGCAACTATAGCTACAAAAAGTTGGCTGCTCTAAAATTCAATTTAAATATATATTGTCAAATATAACTTAAAAATTATACACTAAATCAGATTATCTTACTTAAAACTAGGTAAACTTAGTAAGTTTTAAGCTCCTTTAAAAGAAACTTTTTGTGCTCTTTTTTCCCTAGTAGAGGGTTCAGAAAGACCTACAAAGTCAGTATCTTTTGGCCACCAAACACTTGTGGAAAATACCAGATGAAAGATCCTTTTCATTCAAATGAGCTCAAAGAACAATGTTTGATAAAAGAAAGGAATGTTCTAAAGTCATCTGAAGAACACCAACAAGATTCCTTCTAAAACCTAAATAAATATTTCTTAAGTTTAGTTTGTAACTGGCTAAATTCCATCTCAGAATTTCATTCCTCTAGATTAAGATAATGGTTTTCAAGATGTGTTCTGCAGTAGCTTATGACTCCATAAAGGTTCTTCAGAGCTTTCGTACATATTTTACCTAAATTTCCATTTTTCGTTTTCCCCACTTCAAGCATGAGCATGAAAGATGTTACATACCAAGTTTTTTAAACACTGGAACCTGTGCCACTAAGTTGTGGTGACTGTGCAAACCTGATGTCTCTAAATGAAGTATACCATGGTCTCTGCTGCTGCTTCTTTCTCTTTAACATACTCTGAACCCACCAACCACACCATTGAAACAACTTGTTATGATCACCAATGACCTCCACATTGCTAACATGGTCAGTTCTCAGTGCTTGTCTCACTCAACCTTTCGGCAGCATTTGACTCAGTTGATTGATTTACCCTCCTTCTTGAAACACTTTCTTCACTTGCCTATCAGGATATCACTCTCTATTAGTACTCTTCTTACCTTACTGGCTGCTCTTTTGCTAACTCCTTCTGAAGCAAGCTCTCCTACCCTGGGCCTTAGTCCTGGACCTCTTTCTATATATACTCATTACTTAGATTAGGGGTGTCGAACTCAATCAGAGAAGGGGCCAAAATCTAAAATCCAGCCTAAATCGCGGGCCGAATGGTTTACTGAACAGTCATAAACTGTCATTGTGATGGAAACACAGCGGAGTGCAGTGATGACAGCGCGGTGCGGGCCACATTGCAAGGCCTGGCGGGACGGATTTGGCCCGCGGGCCTTGTGTTTGACACATGTGACTTAGATGATCTCATTCCGTCTCAGGGCATTATTTAAATCTTGCTTCCTTCCTTGACTCCAGATCCCTTATCCAACTGCTACTCAACACCACCATTTGAATATCTATGAAGCATTTCTAATTTAACAAAGGGTGCTTTTCTTCCTCAAACTTGCATCTTCTGAAATCCACCAGTTATTCAGTCCAAAAAACTTGTGTCATCCTTAGACTCCTCTTGGTTTTATATGTCACTTATGTCCATGCCACAATCAACCAATCAGGAAGTTCTGATTACTTGATCATCAAATTATATCCAGAAAGCATCTCCAACCCCACTATTTTGGAAAGATCACCATCACTTCACCTCTATTATTGCAGTAATCTCCTGACTGATCTCCCTGTTTCCTCCTTTGTCCTTCTACTAGTATGGTCAGATTTCAACTTCGAGGCCAGAAATTCTTTTATTCTGAAGGTCAGGTTATGTCAGTCCTCTGCTCAAAAGCTTCCATACTGTTCAAAATCAAAGTCTTAGTTCTAGAAATGGATGGTGGTGATGGTTATACAGCAATATGAATATATTTAACATCACTGAACTATACACTGCAAAGTGATTAAGATTAAAAATCTTATATATATTTTACTACAATTTTAAAAGAAATTGAGAGGGGTGGGGAGAAGTCCTCATAAGGTCCTACATGATGTGGTCTTTGACTATCTCACCTATCTCTCCAACTTCATTTCATACTTCTCTCCCCTTCTCTCTGCATTCCAGCCACACTGGCCTCCTCTCTACTCCTGAGACACACCAAACTCATTCCTATCTTACAGCCCTTTGTATTGACCTTCATTTAGGTGGCCCTTCCTGTCATTCAAAACTTGGCTTATACTTGACCTCCTCAGAAAGGCCTTCCTCAACACACTCTCTACCACATAATTTTAATTCTGCACATCATAACTATCACAATCTTGTTCATTGTCAGTCACCCTCCTCTAAAAGCAAACTGCAGAAAAACAAGGACTTTGTCTTTCATCCCTGCTAGTTTGCTTCTTTGAACAGTGAGTGGCATATAGCCAGAATCAAATAAGCATTCAGAATGAATAAAGAAAGTACAAACTAGCCTTCCTGGGGTCTAAAATATTTCAATATATGAGCAGAATGATTATACACACCTGTGATCCTCAAGTTTTAACATGCTAAAATAGATTTCCAGCCCCACCTCCAGAATTTCTGGAGTAGGACTCAAGAATTAGCATGCCTAATGAATACCCAGGTAATTCTTATGCTGCTGGACTAGTGATCACACTTTCAGAACTACTGATCTAGTTAAATGGAATTATTCTCCCAAATAACTTAGTAAAAATGACATAAAATAAACATACGGTATACTTCAATAATCAATTATTTCAATAAAAGATTTGCAATAAAAGATTTCAAAGGCATTGTAGAAGCAATGAAGCTTATTCCTCTTCTATTGCTATCTATAGTTATTGCCTCACTCTAGCGAGTAATAACAAGACTACATTAAGTTTCTTTCTCAGTTCAAATAGTTGCCAGAGTTCTGTTACATGGAGCCAAGACTATGGCAGTCTCTTTTAAATCAGAAAAAGAAAAGCAAAAAGCTGATTAAAACACTAAAAACAAATTAGACTATAAGTTATAGTTATGTTCATCCATGATCATTTACATGTTGCTTTATGGAAGAAGTGGTGACTAATGTTGTGACAAGTTATATAACATACCAACAAATATACTTAAGTTATTTTAAGGGCCAGTGAAGCCAGTGCAGATGGAAGCATTTTCTTGTTTCTCTGCAAATCAAAATAAATTTAAAAGTGTGTCTTCTAAATGCAAATGGCTAAGCAACTCTTATTTAATATGTTCATTAAGCCTGTAAACAATTAAGATATAACAATTTCCAGAGAATCTCTAGAACTACCCTGAGACTGCTTCTGTGTTCCATTACTCTTCAAGATGCTCAATATTTTTAATACTTGACTAAAGAAACTGAAAATCCATTTTCTGTCCTATTAACACTCACCGCTAATTCAGTACAAGTAACGATGCTGAGAATGCAATATTCAGAGCCAATTTTCCAATATGAACCCAAGTTTTCCCAGAACACTTCATGCGCTCCTCCTCTCTGGGGGGCCTTCTCAATCCCCCTCACTCAGGCCCCTCCCTTACACTCCCAGGGCACCCTATGCTTCCACACTCTTACCACAGTCAACCCTGACACAATTACAACTACCTGGGTAGCTTTTAAAAGTCCTGATGGCCAGGCTATCTCCCGGCATCCGTGTTTTTTTAAAGCGCCCAGCTTATTCCAATGTTCAGCCTAGGTGGAAAACCACCAGTGTACCTCTGACTAAATATCTGTCCTCCCACTCAACTG